TGAATAAAAAAGTGCATATAAGCACAGCCTTAAGTTAGAATTTCTATTGCTTTTGGCTTATAAGTCACCAAAGTCAAAAGTCAACCCAAACAGGCTCTCAATCAATTAACCAACTACATCTCACTTCCAAACTAGTTAGGATCGGCTATGTAAATCAACTGTGTACATTTCGAGCTAAGAGGAATTTAGAACAAAATCAATCAATTAACCAACTACATCTCAATTCCGAACTAGTTAGAATAGTATAGGTAAACCATGTGTATATATCCCATTCAATTCACTAACAATTTTCACTATATCGACGGTGATTACTAAAACTGACATATGCAGAATCGATTCCAGACCTTCTTTGGGACGTTGTAGTCGACGATGAACAATCCAGGTTTCTCAACGGCCAGAGCTAATCCGTTTAAGCTGGGACCTTTGACAACAGTAGCATCGGTCATGGAAGCTCGGAGCTTAAGGTCGCCGGCGTTGAATGCAACAGTAGCGGCGGCGGCTGCTTTGTCGGGCTCATATCGTGCTTTGAATGAAGCCTTCATCGTTGCCGAGTGAAAAATGTACAGTATTCGATTTTTTTCGATTCTCTAGCGAGCGGGATAAGGAGGAGGAGATTTGAGGTTTAGGAATTAGGAAATTGCTGATGGATGGCTCTAACACTTCGGGCCGGCATTCTAATTTGTTCAACTCAATGGATAAGACAAACATGCCCCGTAAGACCATCTCCAACCTATCTTTATTTTACTCTCTATTCTCTATATTTGGAGAGTAAAATTGAGAATTGGCACTCCAACCCACCTCCAAATCACCCTCTATTTTTCAAATTTAGAGAGGTGAATAGTAGTTCTTCATTTCACTTTTTCATTATTTTATTATTATTTCTACTTACTTTAACATATTATTTTACATATAATTTCATTAATTAAATATCTAATATTCATAATTCTTTTTAAAATGTAATATAATATTTTTAATATTATTTAATATATACTATTTTAATTTCAAATTAATAGTATTTTATTTTTATTTTCTAATTTTCATGAATAATAAAATTTTATTTTATTATTAATTTTAATTATAAAGAATACGCAAAATTAAAATGGCAAGATGAAAAAAAAAATTTAAAAATACAATACATGATTTTAAATACAATATAACAATACAATACATAACATAATAATTTAAATACAAGATAACAATACAATATAATACATAACATAATAATTTAAATACAAGATAACAATACAATATAATACATAACATAATAATTTAAATACAAGATAACAATACAATATAATACATAACATAATAATTTAAATACAAGATAACAATACAATATAATACATAACATAATAATTTAAATACAAGATAACAATACAATATAATACATAACATAATAATTTAAATACAAGATAACAATACAATATAATACATAACATAATAATTTAAATACAAGATAAAATACAATACATAATTGATCACAACAATAATTTAAAAATGTAATCTTCATATTCACCATTAGATGGATTTCATCTTATTAAAAACGGTTGGATGAGATTCTCATTAGTACATTTAATATCTTTTAGATAAAACATTACTTATTATATAATGAACACCATTTACCACTTGAAGTCTGCACATTCATTTCATTTCAAAACATATTCAAGTAATTTGGTTTGTCCTTTGAAAATGAATTTCAATCTGGAGATTGTTCTAATAATAATGATGAAAATTTTTCTTCTTTGTCATCATCTTCGTTAGATTTGAAATTTTTTCCTAGTACAGAACATCATGATATTTTAATAAATCAGCTACATATGAACAACTACATGTTCCAACAAGTTCTACAAAATCATACTAATGAAGTTTCCATAAGTGGCTCCATTCCAGGTCATGTGGTAATCAATCGTGATCGTGAGGCGGCTAATGATAATTTATTTCGTGATTATTTTTCAGCCACACCACGCAAAATGATGCAATATTTCGCCGTCGTTATCGAATGTCCCGCAATTTATTTTTTCGTATCGCTGATGCACTTAAAGATCACGACACGTACTTCGAACAACGCATTGATGCGCCGGGTAGATTTGGATTATCTACTTTGCAAAAAATTACCGTTGTGTTTAGAATTTTGACATTAAAGATCACGACACGTACTACATGATATAATGACTACATGCATTATATTGCATAACATGATAATTGAGGATGAACATGATCTCAATGCACCAATTCAAGATGTCGTAGAGGCTCCAACTTCAACTATAAAAATGGTGGTAGATGAAAATCTCCGGTTTGAACAATTTTTAGCTAGACATAAAAAAACTAAGGACCAAAAATGCTCATTTTGAACTCCGTAATGCATTAATAGAGCATTTTTGAAAATTGAGTGTTTATGTAATTGTATGTCACTTTTATTTGAATTTGTCCCCTAATTTTATGTATTATATTATATTTTCTTGCAATTTATGTTATTTAAAAATTTAGAATAAAATATAATTTCATATCACATTGAATATTATATAAAGTAATTATTTGGGAAAAAATAAATAAAGAATTTATATTATGAAATAAGAAAATAAGAATGCAATATTGAGGAGAGAGGAAAATATTCCTTTTTAGAGAGTAAAATAGAGAATTGGATTGGAGTTGGTTGTCTGAAAAAATAGAGAACTCTATATTTGGAGAGTAAAATAGAGGATTGGGTTGGAGATGCCCTAAGGGGAAAATTTCATAAATACAATAAAGTAACTTTATTTACATCAAATATAATCAAATTTTAATTTACATAAAAGATAGTTTAAAATTTGCAATATATTTATCGGTAATAAAAAAGGTTCTTTTGACAAAATGATTTTTTTCTATATGTATGATGTATTGATATTGTATAAAATAGTGTATATTTGTGTATAGATAATGTATAATTATATATCAAAGATATATAAACATCAATATACATTATTTATACAATAAAGTATACATTGTAGACTAATTTTTCAATCTCAATCAACACTAATCTCATATAAACAATTTCAAAATTTAGATATGAATTTCTTTTAATATTTTTTGATATATTATTCACTCAAAATTATTTATGTTTATGGCATGCCAATTTTTTAAGTCAAGCTTTGAACATAGAAGAAAAGATAAATAAAGAATGAAGAGGAAAACAACAAAGAAATAAGGAAGAAGAAGATTTAGGAAGATGGAGAGGAGGAATAGCTATGATATTGATTTTAAAGTAAAATCATGTAAAAACATTTTATGTTTTGTAATTTGTGTTGTCTATGATTAAATATATTACTTTCTTCGTCTATTTTTATTTGTTCATTATGCTAAAAATATATTTCAATCTTTATTTGTTGTTTTGAGCATAATAGGAAAAAAAAAATCAAACATTAATTACTTACTCCCAAATCATTTTTAAAAACCCAAGACCAAATTAATATTAATTTATATCAATATTGTAATAAAATACTTATGTCAATCTCCATGGCACACGTAATCTAAACTAGACAGATAAAAAATAAGGGAAAATTGTGCATTATAGCAAACTATTAATTCAAAATAAATTATTTACCTATACTTTCATTTAATTCAAATTCGCAACAAACACATTGTCATTCGCCTCTCTTCCCTAAATCTCGCTTGCCACTCTTAGTTCTCTCCATCGCCTCTCTCACTTTGTACAAACACAAATGTATAAATTGTGTTTGTGTGTATAGAAAACGAGAGAAATTGTATATACAAATACAAATATATATATATATATATATGTCATATACACTTATAATTATACTACTACAAATCTTCTTTGCCCAGTTCTCTTTTGCCCCTCTCTCGCTTTATACAAATACAATGTATAATTTGTGTTTGTATAAAGCGAGAGAGAGATTTGATATACAAATATAAATGCTTTAACTTGATTCAATTGTATACAAAATCAAATTTATGCATATATATAAACGCAATCATTGATACATATACATAATAGTTATATATATACAATTTATCTAACCGATATACATATACAATTCACCTCTCTCCACTCTCTCTCCCCTCTCTCCTAATCTTGCTCGTCACTCTAGCCTAACACAAAGAACATATACATATTCAAACACAATTTTCATAGACACAAACGTTTGATTTATACAAATCGTTGTAGAGCGCAAATATAATTTTTATGTTTGTTATTCGTAAAATTTACTCTAAAAATAAACAAATAGAGTATATTTATAAGCTAAGTTCGCATAGCAATGAAAAAGATATCGATGTGATCCCTTTGCCTATGAATACTTATAAATTCACCATAAATATTACTCCCTTCGTTTAAAAAATAATGACTTAGTTTAACTTGGAGTGAAGTTTAAGAAAAGAAATAAGACTTTTAATTTTGTGATTCTAAATTAAAGTTATGTCAAATGTACCAAAATGCCCTTTAATCTTGTGGTCTTAATCATGCCAAGTGGAAAATTGAAGTTAAAGTGTTGCCAAAAAATGAAAGGGGTCATTCTTTTTGAAATAGACTAAAAAGGAAACTAGATCATTCTTTTTGAAACGGAGGAAATACTTATTTCTACTATGCACTTGAGTCGAGGATCCTTCAAAAATAATTTTAAACCTCCACAAGGTAGATATAAGATTTACGTACACTCTATTCTTTTGAAACTTCACTTGTGAAATTTATTTGAATATATTATTGTTATTATTGTATTAATTATTTTAATGCTTACTTATTCACATATTATATTAATTTTGTTTGTGTTATGTCATATTTGTTAGTATCTATAAATAGTTAAATTAAACATTACACACTTTTTATGTATAGAAGGACTAAGAACGTATGTATTAATTAATTTAAAGGTTAAATATAGTAAATCATGTATCAGAAGGACCAAAAGCAAAACTTACCCATAACTTGGGGGACCAAAAATGCTATTATACCAAAATAAAACAGATAGGACCCAGTCAGCGGCATCTTATAAGCCCAATATCAAGAACACAAAGCCCTAGTTCCCGCCAATATTGTTGGCGCCATTTCACATCTCACCAATATCCATATAAATCACTAATTTCCCGGGAAAATTTTACCCTCCATTTTTTCTTCTCAACTTTCTCCATTTACTCTTGAATCTAAATCTACCGGCGAAACCAAGCGATTCTGAATCAGGTGAGCTGAATTTGGTATTTTTTTTTTTTTTATATCTCAGATCTGTTTTCTGAAGTTGTTGATTTTGTCTTTCTGTTACTGCCTTCGTTGTTTATTGGTAGATTTTGAGAGAAAACAGCTGGAGATGTTGATCTGTGCTTCTGTTACTGCATTCTTTGTTTATTAATCGCTCCGTCCCAATTTATGTGTCGCCGCCATTTGAAATTTGTGCGGTAAAACTAAATCGTAAAGTTAAATTGTTTCTAATTATAGAATTTTGACACTCGGATTGAGTGAGCTGTACAATTTTAAGAAAACGGAAAATTTGTTGCAAATTTTAGGGTTTTAGGGATTTTTAGGCGCCCCCATTTCCATTTTCTACGCATGCCATTTATGAAGACTGTATATATATCTGGATCTTTGAGTTGTAGCTGTTAATTTGTTGTTTCTCAAGCGTATATGAATTGATGGATTCAGTTTATTGATTGGAAAAACTGTGTTGCGATTTTCAAGTATATGTTAAATGAATTGTTTTTATAGAAACGCATTTGTTTTTCTTTGGAAAACATATGACTGAATTAATTCACTTGTAAAAAAGCTGTTTTAAGTGATTAATTTGTGATAGTAATAGCTTAGTTTATAGGGTAATTGATATCCCAGTACTCTATTTCAGATCTTGCTTGAGGCAAGGAGTATTGATTATCTCTCAGTCGTGTCAAGACAAAGCATATAAGATTGTTAGGTAGAAACTTGTTTCGGAGACTTTGTATGTTAGCATGTTACCGACATGCCATAATTTTGATAAGTAATTGGCATTGCATAAGTTCCAAATCTTCTCGTTGTTCCACACTATAAATCCCCCCCATGGTTTCTTCTGCCACTTCCTGCTCTCACTATGGTTTTATTCAAATGCCATTTGCTCATTCGTGTGCTGTTAATTATGCTTTTCTGTAGTTTACTGGCTGTGAAATTTTGCTATCATTTTTTTGTCTTCCTAATTCAGCTCAAGCAAATTGAAATATTGAGCTAAGAAAATCTTTCTTTTTGTAAAAACTTGGGTTGATTAATTTTGGACCCCACCTCATTGACACTACTAACCAAAAATTCTGTTAAAATTGGTGAAAACTTTTGGTAAGAGTAGCAGCATTCCCCTTTTAATTCTGGAAGTAGGTCGATATCTGGTCTAACAACTTTGTGGAATGCATACCATTGTTTCTTATTACAGTGAACTACTCTTCGTCATTGTATTTTGTGTAAATGTGCTAATTTTTCTCCATGTATTCCGACATACTTCTTTTTGTTTTCTATTTTTTCCTGCATTGTAGAAGAGAAAATAGAGATAATTTTTTGAAGTGTTTGAGTTTTAAGACATCCCAAAATAGGATTTGGACCCAATAGAGGTTACCTCAATAAAATTGTAAGCTGTAACGTCAATTAAGTGGAAACGTTCATTGATTCCATCTTTGCTTTCTTTCTACTCTACTTGTGGCTTAAGGTTTCTTTCTTCTGCAGTTTATGGAAGACTGGTGTGACATCTTGGAGTTATAAAGGACTTGTGCTATATTCTATCCCTTCGAGGGCATTTGCAGTTTCACCAACAGTTCATGAACTTGAGTCAAGCCTGTTAGACAATGGAGCAAAGAAGTTGCAACAACTTGCACTTTATCCAGGTTAGGAGGAGAGGTTTGACAGTAGAAGTCCCTAATGTAGATTCTCATGGAAAGCCAGCTTTAATGTTCAAGAAGTTAAAAGACATCTATGATACTGAAAATATTAAGTGTGAAAGCGAATGTCTGCAGGTGGTAGACAGAACATTACAAGCAGTAGAACCTGAAGATAACATATTTGGTGGCTGTGCTAATCATGAAGTGAATATTCAGTCAGATGATTGTGATTTTGGAGAAATAACACTGAAACAACTGAAGAATAAATGCAAATCCAAGAAAAGGAAACTTGCTACTCCAAGTTCTAGTATGACCTGTCTGAAGCAGCCTAACGGATGTTATCTCCCAGACGAAGATGATGATCTAAAAGTACCCCTTAGTCATTTGAAATCGGGGATTTTCAAAAAAGCAAATGGTAAAAGAAGGTGCACCAACAGGAATCTCTTTGCATCTCCAAAAGAGCCTGTATCAGTTAAACTTGAAGAGGTTTTTGAGCCTGAAATTTCTCAGCAGCTCAGAAGTGTTTTGCCTGAAGTGGCAGAACCCATAGCTGACACTTCTGAATCTGAGTTCTCAGTGTGTCAAAGCTCAGATTCCTCCAATTGCTCCTCTAATATCCAGATGGTTAGCAAACTGGAACCTGTTACAATTACATGCAGTGAATTTCCAAATGATGCTGACTCTGAGGAAAACAAACCAGTTTTGTTTGCTGAAGAACAGCAGCTTTGTACTCTTAACCAGATTTCCAGTGATAACTCGGAACATGTGGAGTCTAAATATGTTTTCTCAGCTAGTGAAGTGCCTGCAGAGGTAAATAATCAGGAGGACGGATGTAATGGAGAGAACAGTCAAAAAGAGTTGTTTGCTCCAGCAAGGTCTATGGAAACAGTAGCAGCAGCAAATGATCAGAGTCTAGACATGTATGACTGCCTGATGAATTGTTCTGATACAGTCGAGATTTCTGATCAGAAACCCAATATTGTTGTGTTTCATGTTCCTGACGCAACGGTACCTAATAGCACTATCACTGCCAGTCTTCATTGTGCAGATGATGTTTGCATGTTTGGAGATAGAGATAAGGAAGTTTTGCTCTCAGATCAGAATATTAGTTCAGTCGATGGCCCTGTTGACAATTGCATCTCATCGTGGAATTTTCAAACTTGCTCAGGCAGTGACAATTGTTTGCCATCCTTGGACAAAATTGATGACAAGGAGCAGCGAACAGATTCTTGCTTTACTGATGCAGCAACTAGTTTGATTTCAGGAAATTGTTTGGGTGATGAAAATCGGCCACTGAAATATTCAAGTATTTCTGAAGAAAAAAATATGACGTTAAGCAGTCCACCTCCGGATGTTGTTGATCAGATCTCAACACCAGAGCTGTCACCGCCTCCTGAGAGACTTCTTTCGACACGAAAGGTTAGGGGTGTTTGCTGAAGATAGATTGTTTTCTTTTTATTTTTTGAAGTGTCTCAAACAATATATTCTTATGCAGGCTATTTCTCCATCCTCTCAAGAGCGACTTTGTTTGGCTATGAACTCCATAGACTTAATTGATGACCTGGAGAACTACAGTAAGTCATAGATGAAAATAGGGTTCCCAATCATATGTTGGATCAATTCTGTGTTTTATCCACTTCCTATATAATTCAATTGACGTTTATGGTATATGCATTGCAAATACAATCACAGTTTATATGTTGCTTCAAATTTCCTTTAGGATAAACCTATCATCAGACAAACAACTCACAGTGCTTCAAGTTAATTCAAAGTTCATTTAACCTGTAAGGTTTTAAGCATTCTGGTGGTTGCTTCTTTGGTTAAACCCAGGAACCGATTACCAGAAATTTGAGAAACAGATGGGGTTTTCAGTTCCGCTGTTTTTGATGTACAGTAAATCAGACAAAATCAGTTTAGTGTGTAAGTCAATAGTCAGCCAGCTTTTACGTGCTGGTAAATGAAGATAACAGCATATTAAAGATTGTTTTTTAAAAGCAGAAAAACAGCCCCTTGTTGTCAGACTTGTGTTTTTACTGTTCCTTCTTTCTATTCTAGCATTACATAAAATTTTAAAACTGATTTTAGTTATGTATCCTGCAAAATGAAGAAACTAGTAAGGTAGTTTTTTATTTACCAGACCAAGTGAACTATCTTGTCAAATGAACTACAAAATCTTGATTTCATACTTCCAACTTTGAAAGGTCCTACTAATTTCCTTTCTAACTCAAATGTATCTGCGGAATAAACCGTAACATCATACTTCTACCTTGAAAGGATTAATATCCTTTCTAACTCATTTATCTACCAAAGATGCTAAGCTGGACTTAAACCCCAATTATTCAATAGAATGAGATTCTTCATGTTGTTGTCCTTTTGAAATGCTTGTAATAAGATAATATATTTGTTTTCCTAAATGTTCTGAACCATCTCGGAAATCTAGCTGACTTGTTTTTTCATGGTCATACTATTTCAGAATGTAAAGAAAAACTCACTTTTGCGGGTCATGAGGATTCTGAAAGATCATGCCTAGCTGATGCTAGCACAAGTAAAGATTCTGAACGATCTCCACGGCCTAATCAGGCTAAAGTTTTTATAGGCCCCAAGCAGATCTCTAGGAGATTGAAGATTGGAAAACGAAGTTCCCCTCCAAAAGGCAATCTAGTAAAACGAAGTAGTCCTTTGAAGGGCAATCTAGAAGGTCCTCGTCTATCTCGTTCTTTACCTCAGCTTAGCACTGGGTGCACCTCAATTAAACGTTGTTCAGAAAGTGCTATAGCATTTTCACAGCGGCAGATGCATGATATTGAATCTCTAGCATCGAAGCTTATGAATGAATTGAAGTCCATGAAGGATATGGTAGAAGACAAATTACTCTTTGAAGCATATCGAACCAGTTCTTTGAAAAATGATGCTGATGAGGTATGTTTTTCCAGATATACTGATATATTGGAGGTGACAATTCTCGAGTTAAACAACCAAAGAATAGATCACAGCTAACCTGTTATATGTCTGATATAGCAAATGATGTTTTCTTAAAATCTTAAGTAATATTGATGTTTTGATTTTCCAATACCTCATCTAACAACTGAAAACATATCAATTTGGTCTTTATTTTGGTTTTATAAGTAATGGTCATTAACATGAAATGGCATTTGACAGACAGGGAAAAATTCTAAGAATTACAAGAGGATGTGCTATTTTCATTTTCATGTGAAATGATTATACTAGAATGACTTTTGCTTAGATGAGTTACTCTGCATGTAATTGTATTGTTCTCAAGTGCTAGTATCTTATGTTTGACAGGTGAAGAATGCCATAAAAGGTGCTACGAAAGTTGAAGAGACAACACGAAAGTGGTTGTCCATGATGACTAGGGACTGCACCAGATTCTGTAAAATCATGGTTGGTGCCTTCCATTTTCTGTATAATTCATAGTTGCTCTTCAAACTTCTTTAACATTAAAATATGAACTTCATGACTCATTAAGTCAAATTTATTTTTCTGTGATGTAGAAATTGACTCAAAATGGTGCGACTGATTCCAAGAACTCAGTCCATAGAGAGGGGAGGAAAATTTCTTTTGCTGATGAAGCTGGTGGTATGCTCTGTCATTTCAACTATTTTGAGGATACCGATCCAACGTTGGAATCTGATAGTGTACAAGAAGAAGACATATGAGGCCTCAACTATCATCTTCTGGAGATATCTCAATATTTTGTTGTATGATAGATTATTGTGCATCTTCCTGATTGATTGTGTCCAATAATGTAACGATGAAATATTATTTTTTCCTAATACTACATTTTGAGATAATATGCTATCTAAAACTACTGTAAGCCAAGTCTCCAAATGCACTTCTCAATTGGTGTTCACAACATTGCTATCTCAATAATAGACTGTCCAGATGTGATGGAAAGGTGTTTGGCAAAACTACTAACTAAAACATGTCATGTAGAAAGTAAAAATTATAGAGTTGTTGAAAAAGGAAGGAGACATTTCTTTTTGAAACGAACTCAAAAGGAAGGTAAACCAAACCAATTGAAATGGAGTAATATAAAAAGACATAGCAAAGCACAATAACCAGATTACAAGAGCATATAAAAATTATGATAAAACAAATGAAAAAATAACATGTGATGTGATGCTCCTTATATAGGTTTTGAATGTTGAATTTGAACCAATATGATGCTAAGTATAATTGTTCATTGAAATCTTGGAAGCTTTAAATCCATAGACTTTGAAGATTTACCAAACAACTCCTCCCAAATCTCAGTGAAAGCTTCCACAATAATTGCATGATGGTGTCTTGAATTGAGACTAAGAAAACAAAGCAAAAGTTGCTCTAAATCCTCTGCTTCAAACATCTCTTTCTCCAATATCATTTCCTTCATTGATTTCTTGAAATCGTCGTAAGGATCTGCTGATCTTTTCACTATAGCAAAACTCTCATTCACTTTTCCATCAGCCATACATGGCATCATAGAATCTTTAAAACTATTCGAAAGGTAACGTCTGAGCCTCCTTACTTTCGTGTTATTATTATTTTTCTTCCTTCTGATCCCGGATAAAGGATCATGTCCATGATCCACATCGAATGATGATTCAAAACTTGGAGAAGAAATAAAGCTTTCAGTTTCATCATTAGGTTTCTCATCACAACATTCACTATTGAAACTGAACCAGCCACTATCAACAGAGGAAAAACTCATATTCAACCTACTTTTTCTACTTTCCCCCCTTCTCATGTTGTTGTTATCATGATCAGAATATTCAGAACTCGGCGAATTGTACGTTTTACTTGCCAAGTTGTGAGCTTTTCTGAATATGTAAGGGTGATGTGGGGTTGAGGGAGGTACTGGAACAGGGGAATTATCAAGAATATTGGCAGGGGGAAATTTGTATAGTGAAAGTGGCATTGGACTTTTAGGCAAAAAAGAAGCTTTTTTGGATCTACAAAAGCGAAAAGAAGGCATAGAGAGCTTGAGTTTAAATCTCCTTGTCATATCTAAGTGATGAAAAATGCAATTCTTTTGGTAACAAATGAGATGAGTGCACAACAACAACAACAACAACGTACTTAGTGTAATTCCACAAGTGAAATCTGGGCTAGGTAGAGTGTACGCAGACCTTACCCTTATCTTGACAGGCAGAGAGAGACTGTTTTTGATAAACCGTCAACTCAAGAAAAAGATGACAAAGAAAAAAAGTTGACAATAACTACAACAAAATAGTAGAAAGTAATGAAAAAATTGTTGCCTGAACCAAAAAATGTTGTTGCAATGAGCAACGTACAATTACAGGCGAAATGTTCAGTACCGATTAGCCATGCCCAAGGAGTTTGGAGTTCAAGAATTATATAAGAAATCTGAGGGAGAAATGGCCGGCTTTGGTCAGCTGACAGTAGGCTAATCTTTTAATAAAGAATTTAAGTAATATAACTAATATACACCGTCAGTATAAATAATTTTACATCGTCAAGTCATCTTTACTTGTTCTAGCAGGTAATATATTTTATATTCAAGAATACAATCTCACATTTTAAGAAAATTCATAAGTAGATATCTTTTGAATGACTAAACAGTGTAAATTAAATATTTATTCGGGCGGTGTAAACTAAACCTCTTTAATTAAACTATTTTCCCCTTATATCAGGAGTTCTGTGACAGACCAAATCTGAGTGAGGTAATGTGAAAGCTACATAGAAATTCCCTCTAGAGGAAATGGTCTCAAAAATATTATTTTATGTATAGTTTCTTGAGTGTGACATTAAATTTTTTCTCTCTCTTGTATTTTTCATTTGTTCTTTTATGATAGTTTGGATTCAAGGGCCATGACATTTCACGAAAATTAAGTGGGATAACTAGTTTTGAGACCGTCTATGAATATTTAGTCATTTTTAAAATATAATTGAGAAATAATCACTTATTTAAGACAAATATAAAATTTAAATAAAAAATATCTCGCATTAAAACGAAAAAAGTCCAAAATTTTTAACAAGTGAAATGAAACTATGAACTCAACTACTCAAGGACAAGGAGTCTTTCATTGAGTTCAAACTCAAGGACAAAATAGGACTTTTTTTTGAGTTCTAATTATGTGCTAGTAACTAGCGTATATTTTTCGTGTTTAATTCAAAAATATTTTATCCAACTTATTATGAAGAAGCCATGTTTTTCCTTAACGACATTTTTGATTGGACTAAGAAAGAAATCATAACTTTTAACTTCATATTACTCGCTTCAACTAACACATATATTATTGACCATCGAGTAACCTTTAACATTCAATTTTTTTTATCAGAACAATCTCCAATTTACTGATATTATTATTAATTTTCAATAACTATGTCTTCTTCTGAAAAACACTTTTCAATCAGTAACACTAACAAAGCATCGAAATATAATTTCATTGCAAAATTACTTTTATCATACCAAACACATATAATAACATTAGATTTTCCCGTAATATCATTCTATTTTCCCGTAATATGAAATGCAAAAATGCTAAGTTTGTCAACTATTGCCAGCAAGCTGCAATATTTATATTACTATATTTTTTTATTTTTAGATAGATATATAAAAGGTCGTCAATTAGCCATCTGAAAAAAGGTTTTACGTTGAAAAAATCATACTATATGTATCCAGCCGTGCATTGAAGAATTCCTTGCTGCCCAATACCATAAATTTGGTCCTATGAAAGTGACTATAATGTATATTAGCAAGAAAGAGGGTGTGTTCGGTAGGAAGGAAAATGTTTTGAAAAATATGTTATTCTAAAAGTATTTGCTTATAATTTAAACAAATATTATGATAGATACTAGGTTGGATTATGGGGTTGTGGATATGGAGGCTAAGGAGGGTGAGCCGTGAAGCTGAATATAAGATGTGTTGGAGCCTACCTGATGGAGGAGACACATTAATTAATTAATATAAAATGTCAGTTGCGGAACTCATTTTTTCTATTTTTATTAGGAAATTCATTTTCCTCATGGTTAATAAACTTGTTTTTTAAATAAAATATTTTTCAATTTTTTTAACCAAATGAACGTGAGAAAAAATGGAAAATATTTTTCCAAAAAATGTTATGTTTTATCCTAAGTTGATCGTTGAATTATGTGAACTGACTCATGAAAATTTATCCAAAAAAAATGTTATGTTTTCTCCCTACAATATTCTTCTTCTTATTGTTTTATTATTTCATACACTCCTTTGTCCTAATTATGTGACACTTTTCGTTTTACGAGAATTAGAGTAGTCAGGTAAATAGTTTGGGATGTGGGTTCAATCAGATAAATATATTGAGTTAGGTTTAATTTGGATAAATGTTTTGCCTAATATAGAGCCGTCAAAATGGGCTTAGCCCATAGGCCAGCCCGACCCAATCCGTTATTGGGGTAGGGTTGTGATAGAATTTTTCAAGCCCATTTAAAACTAGGGCTTATAAGCCCGATCCATATAAGCCCTTGGCCCTTGAGACTTGATTGGGGCCGGGCCGGGGTCAGCCCATTGACCAAAACTTTTTATTTAAGGGTAACTTACAATAATCTCACTAGTATATAATCTAATTACCTAAATACACACTATGTTGTAATATTATGAATCTTACCAAAATTTGGTACGTTAATACATGTATCTCGGAATATATGGACTCAAAACTAGATTAATTTGTTCTAGATACACTCTATCCAAGTAGATTTGCATGTATTTAGGATACAGACAAATCTCCCGCCCTCACTTCATTCACATCTTACTTGTCACTCTTTTATCTCGATGCGTATCTGGTATGTGAGATTCATGCTAATTACATTAGATTTTTTGCTAGTGTTATTGAAACAACACCATTGTTTGTCATATTTGATTTGAAAATCTTCTCATTTTCTTTATGTTATAGAATTATAAGTTTGAAAAGAAAAAAAATGAAAAAAGGAAAAAAGAAGGGCTAGCTCGCCCCAGCCCTCGGCCCTTCTAGGGTTGGGTTGAGAATTTTCAGGCCCTTCCAAATGAAGGGCCGTCCCGCCCTAGCCCTTCAAATTCCTTGGCTCTCGAGGCTTGAGCCGGGTGGGGCTGGGCCGACCCTTTTTGATAGCTCTAATGAGAATCAAATAGTTTAAGTTTGATCGGCAATTTAAGCATGAAATCTTCAAATTTTTTTAAATGAAATTTATATATTTATAAACTACATAAAAACTACTATAAGTTACAATAATCGACAATTCAAAATATTAAAAAAATGTATGAAAAACTTATGGTAAAAAATAAACTTGTTTAAATCTAGAAATCCGAAATACATAAATTGGGATGAAGGGAGTTGTATTTTTTAAAATGTAAGATATTATTCCCGCCAAAATTAGACCCACACAATAGCAACCACCAAAGAAACACCTCTTTGGGGGGAAAAAGGTGGCAGAGAAATATCCATTTCTCCCCAAATTTCTCTCAAAATCATGAGCTCCGTTCAATCCTCTTTCAAAGGAGAAAAAAAAGAAACACCATTTTCTTAGTTTTTTTTTCAACAATCTTCCTCTTTCTCCTGTATAATTTTTCTCTTTTCCAGTAATTTTTTTTGACGAATAGTGTTGTATTTTTTACGCCATGAGAAAATTGTGCCCTAATTTGGACAAAGAAGATGGATTGGATACAGTTTTGGAGGTTCCTCTTCCAGAAGAAATGTTTAGCAAAACCGGTGGCTGCAGTGCAGCAATCAGGTGGAAGAATATGCTAAATCTAATGCGAGCTGATAAATTGCCTGATCGATCGAAGGCGGTTGCCTCTGGAAATAATGATCAATTTATGTTCTTGTTGAAAATTGTTGGATCTGCTCTTATACCTTTTCAGGTTCAATTGGATCATGCTATTAGCTTGCCTGTTAGAGATGGTTGCATTGTGAGTTGCTCTGTACATCTCTCCTTCCTGTTTATTGTTTTTGGGATAAAATATAATAATAATAACAATAATAAGAAATAAAAAAACAGCTCAGAAACGTTGTGTTCACTCAAGGTTCGGGGAAGGGGTGTGATGTAGGAAGCCTATTTGATGTAAATATTAGTGATTTCACATTTAGAACCCGTGACTTATAAGTCACTGCTATGTTGTGTAGTGCTATTCATTTCACAGTATTTCGTTGTTGTTATTGCTTTCATTTCCATGTTCCCTTTTTCAAACTTCGGTCTGAAACAATATCTATCTCTACGATAGGGGTAAGGTCTAGGTATTGTACTCTTCTCAGACCACACGTGTGGAATCATATTGGGTATATTGTTGTTATTGATCTATAGGTTATACTGAGACAATTTTATCATTGCTTCAAAGTTCGCCTTCTTTTGGGATATTTTTATTGGACAAAACAATATTTTCTTAAATGGGTAACATAATTGACAAAGTTTGAATATTCTTGAATTTGATTTCTGAATAATAAGAATGCTAATGTACTTTTTTTATCAATCAATCAATCAATCAATCACCTCTGCATCATATTTTATCATATTAATCAGGTCGATTTTATGAATTCGCTCTCTATATATTTGGCTCTATTCCGAATGTAGTAGCTGCTTTGGTGGGTAAGGGCATGGCTGCATGAAGGCAAAGGGGTTCAATTGAATCTCTTTTGCCGGGAAATTATATTGTGCAAGTATATATCCTAGGATCTATGTCTGCTCTGATGTCCTGTTGAAAGTGTGTGATCATTTCATTTAAAAGCTTAAGTGGTTAGAGAGAGCAACATTTTTATTTACTTAATTATATTTTGAACAGTTACAGTGAAAAACAGAAGATAAATGATGTATCAAATGTCACAATTTCTTAACTGATAGATTTTGCTGAAATTTCTCAAACAATAAACATGCTGAAACCCTTCTCTAATGTTGTGGTCATCAGAAAGCTTCTTCTGCAAAATACATAGTACAACAATATCTAGCAGCTAGCGGAGGGCAGGCTGCATTAAATTCAATCAATAGCATGTACGCGGTGGGGCAATTGCAGATGGCAATGTCAGACATACAGCAAAGTGGTAACCAGATGAACTCCAAACGGACATGTGAGGACGGAGGATTTGTTCTTTGGCAAAAGAATCCTGATCTGTGGTTCCTAGAATTTGTCGTATCCGATTGCAAGGTCAGTGCTGGTAGTAATGGTACAGTAGCTTGGAGTCACTCTTCCACCAATTCTAATGCTTCAAAAGGTCCTCCAAGACCACTCAGGAGGTTCTTTCAGGTACCCCTTTCGCTTCAGTAGTTCTTTAGGTCTGAGTGACATGATTTTTAAGATTAGTTATATGTATCGACAGTATAATTAGTATAACTTGTATAGATAATAACCATTTTTACTACGTATCATGGAGATTTACATGTAAGCTATGTTGCTCGAGTCCTCCATAAATGCCTCTGCTCCCATGTCGGATCTTCCAAAAGCATTTTTGGAGTATATGAGCAACAAACATAACCTGTAATTACCATGTGAACTGATTGTGTAAATACCTTTTAGACCGTCGAGGCATAGAGCATAAAGTCTATTGTAACATACTTCTTATTTTTGAGTTGCAAGTCACACTCTTTCCTTTATGTGCTTTATGAAATCATCCAACAACTACATAGTTAAGTATACCAGTACTGCTGCCTGCACAAGCTAGAAAGCTTATCAATGTTGATAAAACTCAGATTCCTTCATTGTGTTATTTATGAACTCGTCTTTGATCAACAGGGACTAGACCCCAGATCAACAGCCAATTTATTTCTGAATGCTGTTTGTATTGGAGAAAAGAAAATCAAGGATGAAGGATGCTTTATACTAAAACTTGAGACTAGCAAAGACATGTTGAAGGCACAAAGCACAGCCAACACAGAAGTTGTTCATCACACCATATGGGGCTACTTCAGCCAACGCTTGGGAGTTCTCATCCAATTTGAGGACACAAAACTAGTAAGATTGAAGTCAGCGAAAGACAACAATGACAGTATTTTTTGGGAAACAAGCATGGAATCAACACTTAAAGATTATAGGTACATTGAAGGTATCAACATAGCACATAGTGGGAGAACTGCAGCAACAATTTATAGATATGGAAAGAACATAGACTATAGAGCAAAAGTTGAGGAAACATGGAAGATTGAAGAGATTGATTTTAACATTAGTGGTTTGTCAATGGACTGTTTTTTGCCTCCTGCTGATGTAAACAAGGAAAATGAACAAGAATGGGATTCTAGAGCCTCTTTAGCTGAAAATAGAACTGTATGCTAATGTGAAAATGTTCTTGTATATAAGATAGATAGGCTGTTAGCTCTTGTTCTTATTTCCTAAATATTGGATATTTTGATCACAAAAGAGTTCTTTCGTCTCAAAATCCAAGTAATAAATAGTGAAAGTTCTCAAACTTGGGTTTGATGAATTTAATTAGATCAATTAACTATGATATGCATATATAATACTTAGATGAAAATAAAAATAGTACAACATATTTCAAAACTAAGAATGGTAGTGTTCAAATCTATAACTAGATCTAATTCTCCCATCGATGAAAGTTTTATATCCCAATCTTCGGCATATCTTTAACATGATCTTGTTCATCAGGGCAAATCGATACACGATTACAACAAAGGTCCGTTGGTGCAAGACAACCACCTTTATTAAGCACGACGACAGTGACATCAGGATTTGTACTTTCTATTATGGTTTGAGCTTTCACGACATCAACTCCGACCAACTCTGGCCATTCACGTTGATTTGAGAATCCAAAATGTTTGCACTGATTTCCAGTACAAGTGCATGATTGACAAGGAGGGTATGGTGTTTTGGATTGGATTATGACCATATATTGGGAAAATATTAGAAAGCCAAGAAGAAAATGTGATATTGTTATCATGATGAATTGTGATGTGCAAATGAAGGGACTTCACATTTTATAGGGCCATAAAACAATGGTGATAGGCTTTTTATGGAAACTTGATACATGCAATGTAATCTGGTCAATAATAATAAGAAGGATAGTGATTTTTGGACATACATTTAACTTTCATGTGGCAATACATTTTGAAATAAATATTGAAAATAACTTTTGATACTTGATTTTTTGTCTGCTTTGATGTGTGTTTTATAAAATATACGTAGATGATGATAGTTTAAATAAAAATATGAGAACAAAATATAGTTGAAAATGATAGTTAGATGTGTTTTTGACTATTTCTCAGGAGAACAACGATTAAATTGATTTGATTTTGATTTAGAACCTATCCAAATCGACCCGTGAATACCCATATAACAAAAAGATAAAATACATAAATATGACTCTTAACTTGGCTCCATCTGACAACTATGACCTTTAACTTTAGATGTGCACAAGTAAGAACTTAAACTTGTATAAAATTGAACAAGTAGACACATTCGTCCTACATGACACCCTATATAGCAAATTTTACGTCCTATGTATATTATGCCATGTAGGACACGTGCGTCTACTTATTCAATTTTGTACAAGTTTAAGTGTCTACTTGTGTACACTCAAAGTTGGAGGGAATAGTTGTCCGTTAAAGTCAAGTTAATGGTCATGTTTATGTATTATGCCTAACAAAAAAACAATATTGGGGTATTTTGGTAACAAAAAATAATTAAGGATTCACATGTATTTTCTTAAAACTACAGGGGCAAAAGTGGACATTTACCAGTTTTCTCTGCCAAACGCCGCATACTCCAAACCCTAGCACTGTATAAACCCCTATTTAAACAACATTTTCTCCAGTAATTCTTCAATCAATTTGCTTCTCTTCATCCATCGATTCTGCAAAAAATAGTTTCTTCAAACAATTTTCATGTGTGTTTGCTTATTTTTTTTATTTTTTTTTGTGTTTATAGCATCAAATTTACCCTCTTCTTGTACTAATTATGTGAACAAGGAGATAAAGCTGATGCATAAACTGATACGGTTGGCTTACCAGCTCATTGCATTCATATTCTTATTGCCTTCGTGCCAAATGGTCCTACCGAAATCCTCAACTTTTCAATTGTTTTTTTCTCTGAATCTGATTTTTTTTTGCATAATTCATACTTTTGCAGATGATGATTTACTGTAAGTACTGAATAATCATGTCGATTATATACTCCGCTTATTATCTGATGCTATTTTGTTTCTTTGATTCAGATCTACTGAATGTTAGTTGTTAATGTTTTTCTATTTTTTCATCGTTTGGCAAATGACGATTCACTGTAAATACTGAATAATCATGTCGATTATTTACTCCGCTTATTATCTGATGCCATTTTTTGTAGTTTCAGATCTAATGAATTTAAATTGTTTTTAAATTATCTTTCTGGGTTTTTTGGGAGGCAAATGATGTTTAAACAAAAATCTTATACTACACACTGAAATTTAATGAAGAAAAATTAACTCTCAATTAGTTTACTGATGCCTCTTAATTATTATATTTCTTAGTTTAATCTGTTTGATAGAAATTAATTTGTTGGCTTAATGATGAGATACAAGCAGACGGGCGGTCTGAACTGATGCCATGTTGATTGTCTGCACAACTTCCATTAATGGAATTTCTCTGAAAGTTAGTAGTTACTGTTAATTACAAATTAATTTGGTTTATTTATGTAATTCTTTAGTTTTATCTGGCTGCAATGATGATGTTGCTTAAATTATGTCTGGACATATGATAATCCATGATTAGCTAATTGCAAAATTCTGAGCAGCTTTGTTTCTAAGCACGAATTGTCTTGATGGTGGAATATCATTAACAATTTGTGATAAAACATTTTGAATGACATTTCAATTGTTGGAATCTATGTTATATATTATCTAATTACGAAAATACTTGGAATATCTGCAAGCAATAGTAAAATTTTGTTCATTCAAAAACATTTTATGTAACAAACTCAATATCAAGACCAACTCAATTCAAATTCAAACAACCGACAAATCTATTTCATTAACTCGTAATTGGAATTACAAAGGAATTTAAGAACTAAATGGAAATTGAAGAACACAAGTAGTAGAAAGGGGATGAGAAGTAGAACTCATAGAAAGGGAATGAGAGGACTAGATATATTTTTCAACAATTTGCATAAATCATTTCTTCTCATCCGCCATCCTTTTAGCTAGCTGTTAAATGGGCCTGGATCTCAAATCAGCTTTTGCAAAGGCCTTCTAATTTTGTTGCTTCTTCTCGACCCAATAACTAGTTGTGTGACATTTGTAAAGGTATTGGTATTGGGCTTAGGCTGGTTCATAACAATACTCCCGTCCTCAGTAGGAACCTTGTCCTCAAGGTTCGGGTAAGGAACAATGTTAGTAGCACGCTCCCTACCAAATGTAGTCAAGACAAACTGTTCAATGTTGGCAAAATATAAAATGTGATCTTGTATACTTTCTGCACAACCATCAACCATCCATTTGTTCTGCCTTTGTCCAGCCCTTAACTGGTTCTTCATTAACCGCTCCCAAATCTTGCACAAAAAAATTGCTGACATAATAAATTTGGAGATTTCCACCTTGAGTCCTTGACATCGTGTGAATGGAATTCTTTTACTGGAAAGCCATACTCATACTCCATAAAAATGTAACCAAGATAATCCTCAATAAATCTTTGTAGCTCAGTCCATGAATAAGTTGCAACTATACACACATAATTGAACTCAAACTTGAACCAGTAATTATGCTTGGCCTAAGCTTGTGCTCTGTCAACAGTAGGACCCAAACAAGCTGAAATATGAACCTTGCTTGCAAGAAATTACTCTCGACAAAGATGCTATCAGTGTAACAACGTTGAATCATTCGAGGAGTTAGGTGATAAAGTGAGGCAATCTGTCAGTCAGTTCTCTGCGGTGCAAGTTCTTCATCAAGATATAACTGCTGGCGAAATACGTCCATTGTCTTACCAGGTAACTTAGCAAATATATCATAAGCAAGATAAGGACCAGGACCAAAGCCTAGATAAGACAAAGTTGTCTTTGATATATGAACTACACCAAATATAGTCAACAAGAGCACATCATCTTTGTTGACAAGAATATCGGAAAACTGCTCTGAATATCGTGCGGCAAATGCCCCAAGCAACCCCTGCATTTTCTCCGCCCTACCAAACTCTCTCGATTTAGGCAACAAGATACCAGGAAGGCATTGCTCTTGTCCTTTACCAACCCAAATGCAAGAATTCCACAAGATTGACATAATTAACTTATTATGATCCAAGTTGTCTAAGGCGACACAAAATACATAGTTTCTTGTAACTCTAAGGAACATGGTAAGTGAACGAGAGCCAGGATCAAATGGAAACGCTAATCCAAATTGATCAGGTGGAAACAAATGCAAAGTTAAGATAAGTGAAGCATGACCAAGTCTACTAAAGTGATCAATTATACCTCTATTAATAAGTTGGTCATATCTACAAGTTGAAAGCATTTCAGACATCTCCTCCAAGCATCGGGTTATCCCAAGTTTATGTAGCATATTAAACATGGCAAAGTCACCGAAAGTAGAAAATGTAGAATCAATCCACAATGGAAGTATTCCCACAAATGCAGGAACTAGTTGTATTTTATTTTCAATGGTAAAAAGCTTTTCTTCTTCTTCTACTTCTTCTTCCTCATTCTTGTCTTCATTTCCAACATCAATAGCATAGTCATTTTCCTTAATAGTATATGTGGTAATCGTAAGCACCTTGCGTGATTCTAGAATAACATCCTTACACCCTACGGAAAATTCATCGAACACCTTGTGTGCCTCGTTGTTGTATACAAGTGGTTTACTAACGTGTTGTGGAATAGGAAACTCCGCCTCCTCTTTAGTTTCATCCGAAATCGAATGAAAAATCTTCTCTTTTGCTTGAGTGTCCAACATCTCAGCACTGTCACTTTTAATTAGCATTGTTGCATTCTCAACATCTACAACAATATCAGGTGTCTTATTTGACTTTTCATCGAACACCTGGTGGGCAGATTTCACTTTGTTGTAGTCCGATGGTACATTCCACGACTGAGGCGAGGGAAAGTTAGGGATAGTGCTCTATGATGAAATAGTTGCAGCCCATGCCTGATAATCATCCACTATGGTAAACTGCCGAAGAAAGGCGAATCAATTGTGAGGATCTTTTCGACTTTGAAAATGAATAAACAATTTATCTACGAAATGATCCCAACCCGTAAGTTGTTTGTTTCGGAAGAGCCAATGATACCATTTCAAAGCCTCGCCATCCAAATAGAATGAAGCCCAAGACAGTTTATGCTCCAATAATATGTCGTAGAAGATGAAATACTTCTCTGTCTGAATCACCCACTCTAGAGGATTGTCACCACTGAAGCGATCCATGTCAGGGGCTTGAGATAGGTCCACCATGGTAGATGGAATCAATGAAAACACCAATATAACAAACTCAATAACAAGATCAACTCAATTCAAATTCAAACAACCGACAAAGGAATTTAAGAACTAAATGGAAATTGAAAAACACAAGTAGCAGAAAGGGGATGAGAGGACTAGACATATTTTTCAACAATTTGCATAAACCATTTCTTCTCATCCGCCATCCTTTTAACTAGTTGTTAAATGGGCCTGGATCCCAAATCAGCCTTTGCAAAGGCCTTCAAATTTTGTTGCTTCTTCTCGACCCAATAACTAGTTGTGTCAGTGTGACATTCGTAAAGGTATCGGCATTGGGCTTAGGCTGGTTCATAACATTTTAATAGATAAATTTATGCTAATTCTAATCTCTATAGCAATTTTATGAGACCATAAAAAACTTTGCATTTCTAATTTGGATTGTAGTAAAGAATTTCTTGATCAAATGATGTTTATTTAATTAAACTTTGCTAAGTTGGATTGTAGTGCTCTTGAATCAAATCATTTACTTTCTTAAAAAAAACGATGTACAGTTAAAAATCAAGATTTCAAATTATGATTTTGCAAGATGAAATGTGAAAAAAATTTGAAATAGAATTGATAAAGTGACAGGTTTGCATGAGTTTTTATCAAGAAATTGCTTCTGATGATTTCTTTCAAGCTACAAATATTAAATATGATATTAAAAAAATGGCGAAAGAGAATGAAATCTTTCGAGCTCCAAGTATAAAATCTGATTTTATTAAATGGTGAAAGAGAATGAAATGGAAAGAAAGGGGGCTAATTTAGTCGATTGCGATTCAATTGGCTAAATTAGCCTCGTTTCTTCCCATTTCATTCTCTTTCATCATTTTTATATTTGGACATTATTATCATTATATTTGGAGTTTGGGAGGGAGACATTTGAAGCAATTTCTTGAGAACTCTTGTGATTAAATTCGATTCTATATTGTTTTCTTTGAATTTCATTTTGTATTGTTGGACATTTCAAAATAGTATAGTGAACAATTATTATTAAACAGATGAAGTATATTAAAAAAAGTTTCATGGGAACTATCTTTTGGCTTCTTTCCATAGAAAACAACTATACTAGTACTCCCCCGTCTCATTTTATATGTCATTTTTTTCTATTAATAGTTGAACCACAATACTTATCATTTTATAAAATTTATGCATAAATTATCATATTTTACCTATTATACCCTTGATAAAATAGTTAATTAATCTTGTCATTTATTAATAAAGTTACATCATTTCTTAATACAAAACAAAGTAAAAATGTGACATATAAAATGGGACGAAGAGAGTATTAGGGGCGAAGCTATGTGAAAGTAAGGGGTTCTAGTTGGACCCTTCTCACTAACAAAATTAAATTATCTATATAAAATTTAAATATAATAAAATTTAAATTTATTTGACTTTATCATTTGAATTTGTCTTTATATTTTGAACCTTGTTAATAAAAATGATACAAATTAATATCTTAAGATACTCGTAAAGTTTGACAAACCAAATGTGAAAAAGACCATTTTCCATGCAACTTGGTCAAAGCAGAAAGCAGCTAACACTAGTTGGCATGTTTGGTATTTGTAATTTGTAGCATTTTCCAAAATGGATTGCTTTCATCAGTATATTGTCAAAAATAAATTTTATAAGCAATTAAATATTTTAAGTATTATTTTTTAAAATGTAATTTGATTATATCGGCAAACTGAGTTAAGATAAAGTATTCCGACAACAATAATATATTTATAGTAACGTTTGAAAAAAAAAGAGTAAATGCAGATATACCTTATTTTTATCTTTATGAATAGAAAGGTTGGTTCGATAATCGATAGACATTTGTGTAGTAGTATTGTTATTTTTTAAATGACATTTTATGCTATATATATCCGTGTTGAACGTCAGAACGAGTATCGTATGAATATTACACAACTATTTTTTTACAAATATTTGTAAAATACAATTGAAAAAAAGAAAGAAAAAAAGTAAGCATACCAGCATCCACATTGCCAAGCAGCCCAAGCTCACCTAACAGTACCATCATTAATTATAATCCAAATTTAGCAATATTTTTTTCCTTTCGAGTACTTCATGTCCTTAATTACTTGTTCATTTTTCTTTTTTTAGCTATTTCTAATTACTTGTTCAGTTTGATAAATTTAGAAAAGACAAATTTTTTTACTTATTATACCCTCAATTAATTACTTTGAAAAAGTAGAACTTCTTGAAAAACTTAAATTTTTAATTCATTCACTTCATAATTAATAAGGGTAAAATGATAAACTCACTATTATCAATCATTATTTTCTTAATAGGTACTCCCTCCGTCCACAATTGTTTGGCAGGTATAATAAAAATAGATGTCCAAGATTAATTGTCAATTTAAACAATCAAGAAATAATTAGTCACTTTTTTTTCAATTCTGCCCTTAATGATAGTGTAGTTCAATTGAAAAGTTATGTGGACTTTTGATATTCTTGATATAGTAGGATTATATTAGTCAAATTACATCTTATATTAAATTTTCCTTGAGTGGTGTGCATAACCTTACCCTGACAAACAATTGTGGACGGAGGGAGTATATCAATTTAAAAATTGACAGGTAATTAGGAATAGAGGGAGAATTCAATATTAAAAACCTACTAATCTCATGTTAGATAGGCTTCTCTAAAAAGTAAAACGTTTCTATTAAGAAATCTTTCAACTTTCAAATCTTAGTGGTCAGTGGTTTGAGAACGAACCCTGACTCATGTTTCATGTTTAAAATTTATCGGAGACAAAGAATATTTGATAATTTTTCTCAATTGATATAGTTTTGATAGATAAAGTTATCTGATACCTGTTATTGATGGTAGATGACAAATATTCCATAAAATTAATTGAAATTAGCGAAAGCTGAACAATACCACCATCACTTGAAAAAAAACAAAAAAAAATTATAGTAACTACCCCACTTTACTTTTTGTTGACAATTTTAGCGGACAAATTAACTACATTAAAAATAAAGGTTCTTCCTTTTAAAAGTCATACTATACAAATAATTATATGAATTATTAAATTCTCTTCATATATATTTTTTTAAAAATAACAATAGTATAAATATGTGAATATTATTTTAAGTTACAAACTCAAGTCGTCCTAGATAACATTCTAAAAATAATTGGATGAATTGTTAAATTCTCTTCATATATATTAAAAAAAAATAACAATAATATAAATATGTAAATATTATTTTAAGTTACAAATTCAAGTCGTCCTAGATAACATTCTAAAAATAATTATATGAATTGTTAAATTCCCTTCATATATATTAAAAAAATTTACAATAATATAACATGTAAATATTATTTTAAAATCGTCCTAGATAACATTCTAATTTTAGAGTGCAATAAATTCCTAATTTCGTCAACACGTTAAACGGTTCCCAAAGGATGAATGTTAGGTGACCCACCAAAGTGTTGAAAGCACACACAAAGGCATTGACGGCATAAAAAGTCAATTATATTCAATAAACCCCACATGCCATGTTTTATTATGTATTAAAAATTATGGATCGTGATAAATATTTATATATTATTTAAGATGTATGATTATAATTTTTAAAATTTATGAAATATAGTTATATTTTAGATTTTATATAACAAATGTACTATACACATGCGTATTGATACAAATTACAATATACATTAATAGAGCCTTTTTACGTGTTTTTAGTTGATATAATATGCATTTGATATTGTCCGTATATAATACGTGATGATACAATTAATAGTTGATATTCATCGCCTTAATATAATTCTTTCACTAATATAGTAAGCACTAATACAACTAACAGTTAATGTTCACCCTCTGATATACCTGATATATGTTATTGATACACATATGTGGTGATACAATATGCATTGATAGAGATTTTAACGTATTTTTAGTTGATATAATATATGTTGATATGATTGATATTTGCCACTTTATATAGTTGATACCATGTATATATATTTCTTTTGTTGAATTAAGAATTAATACTCACCGACTGAATACAACTCTTTTGCTAATATATACGCACTACTTCAACTAATAATTGATACTCTTCCCATGATATAGCTAAAACGATCAATACTCATTGCTTAAATGCAAACTCTTAATACTTTATGCTAATAGTTGATACTGGCCATCTAATATAACTAATACTCATCATCTAAACATACCTCTTTCAATAATATAACTTATATCCATATGATAACATCTCTTTCATCCAATATAATTATTATAATTATATTTCGTATGATTACATTCTAAACTATAGTTATTTACAAAAGATTTCTCTATTATTATCCTTCAAAATTCATATAGCTATTATAGTGAAGCAAAAAAAGAGTATATATATATATTTTTTTATTATTATTATTATTTTTATTTTCTTGCATAGAGTGAGAACACTAATTTGTTAATGGCAGTGTCCCACTCTTTACTCTTGTCGGTGGTTCACTTCACCTCATCTCATTTTTCTCATTCACTTCACTTCCACACAATTCCTTAAAACTTTTTTTTTATTAAAAAACATCACCTCTATTTAATCCACTCATCATCTTCTTGATTCTTCAAAAAAAGAAAAAAAAAATTCTTACTCTCATTCTGCTAATAAAGATCTTATCTTTTTCTGAATTGGGTCAAAGAAAAGTCATGAGAATATACCAAGAAATGAAAGATGAAGAAGCTCAATCAAGAATTAGTACAAATACAGTAACAACAGTTTCCTCAGTTTCAGTAGTAGCAACACCAGCAGCAGCAACATCAACTGTAAAAAAAGATCAAGGATTTAGTGGGGTTTTTGGTAAAGGTAAATACAAATTGTGGGTATTGGCTGCAATTCTTTTGCTAGCTTTTTGGTCTATGTTCACTGGTTCACTTACTCTTAGTCTCAACTGGTCTACTTCAAATCTCAGCCGTTTATCTCATGCTTCTGATTTCACGATCCATGAAGATCTTGATATTCTGGTAATGTTTCTTGATCCTTTTTGTTTGATGGGTTAGTTTGGTTAAAGGCAAAATCTTGAGTAATTATGAAAAAGATTTGATTTTTGCTACATGGGTCAGTTTGCTAAAAGGCAAATCATGAGTAATTATGAAAAAGATTAAATTTTTGCTACATAGGTCAGTTTGCTAAATGGCAAATGTTAAGTAATTAAGAAAAAAATTTGATTGTTGCTACATGGGTCATTTTGCTAAGAGACAAAATCATAAGTTACTAAGAAAAAGATTAAATTTTTGCTACATGGGTTATTTTGCTAAAAGGCAATACATAAGTAATTAAGAAAAAGATTTGTTTTTTTGCTAGATGGATCATTCTGCTAAAAGGCTAATCATAAAGAAAAATGATTTGCTTTTTTTTTTGGCTACATGGGTTATTTACTAAAAGGCAAATCATAAAGAAAAAAGATTAGATTTTTGCTGGATATAGTTAGTAGTATATTTAGCAGACTCAGCTTGTTTGGTAATTGAAATTAGTTGATTATTGGTAGTATTAGGAGTACATTTCAGGTCAATTCACCTCAAAAAAGTGCCTTTTTTTTTTCTTTGCTTTTGTCTAATTTTTTCTTCCTTTTCAATTTTGCTTTTCCTCTTCTTTTTTCTTCCAACTTTAGATGATGATGGATTTTCTTTGATGTGGAAGTCTTTGATATCTTCAAATTGAATCATTTTGTGTGTTGAAGTGTTAAACTTGACTTGTTTCTTGGGTAGGTTATTCACTACATGGAAAGAAGAATTGATTTTTGCTAGATGTAGTACTAGTATTAGGCTGATTCACTTAGTTTTGTATTGAAAAGTAGCCAAGTATAGGAGTGCATTTCAGATAAAAAGTTCTTTTCTTTTTTGCTTTTACACTTTCTAATCTTCTTTGTGTACTTTAAATAGTGGTTTTCTTTTGTGGGGTTTTTGATTTCCTGATGTTTCACCATTTCATGTGTTAAAATGTCGAATTGATTTTTTTAATATTAAAGCAAATCGTACATTTTTGCTAGATGTAGTAGTAGTATAGTAATGCTCATTTAACTAGTTTGAGTTTGAGATTAAGTTGATTGGATCAAGTATGAGTACATTTAACACCATTTGGTGTGTTAAAATGCTGAATTTGTCTTCTGATTTGTAGGTATTGGAGGAAAGAGAGAAAATGGTGAAACATATGTGGGATGTGTACACACAGAATAGCAGGATCAGGTTGCCTAAGTTCTGGCAAGACGCTTTCCAAGCAGCGTACCTAGATTTGACGAGTGATTCACCAGCTACCCGAGACACTGCTGTGTCGGAGATTGCCAAGATGTCCCTCCGTTCCACTTCCACTTATGAATCACCTTCCAACAAGAAATCAGAACCAAGGTAAATTTTTCCAGTGAGACTTGTTTTGTTGTATATATAACAATCAACTACGTCTCAGTTCCAAACTAGTCGAAATCAGGCTATATGAAATATGAATTCTTGATATACTTTCTGCTCAAAGTTCTAACAGTAAATTAGGGGATGAGGATTAATAATGGGATTAGCTTAGCATGCAACTTAATCTTGAGGGGCAACCCAAAGGGTGTGGTCTAGTGGTCAATGAAATAGATTGAGAACTATGAAGCCTAAGGTTCATATTCCAACGGAAGCAAAACTCTAGGTGATCTCTTCATTTCTCTCCAAGCCTCAGTGGATAGAGTTATGTGATGCATGTGCCGGTGAGGTAGCAGATACCCAATCTGGTCCGGATACCACACTTATTAAAAAAAAGTAGTTCAAACTTCAAAGGTCAAAACTGAGGAATTCTAACAAAACTTCTTTACTGCTTTTTAGTGTATGGGATGATGATTTTTTATGGGGTTCTCTGTCTTGAAGGAGTAACTTTATAAGTGTGAAAGGGTAGTTCAAAGTTTTCCTAAAATAGGTTGAAACTGAATCTGGAGAGTATTTGCTTCTAACAAGCAACTCTTTACTGTCCTATATCACATGGGGTGGTTATTTTTGTGGGGCAACCTAAAAGATGTACTAGTCCAAAGTTTTCTTTAAATTCCTAAGAAGATTTGAAACGAAATAAGTCTGAGATCATCTCATCTAAAAGTTGAAGAACGTCTTTTTTATAGTGTGTATAACCTAAAATGCAAAAGGGTAGTTCACAGTATTCCTAAAATTCCAAAGATTTGAAAATGAATCTACACTAGAATTTGTTGAAGTGAGAGACTATCTCATCAAATAGGTCGTTTGATAAAGGATATGATAGTGAGATTCCAACCACTACCTGCTTTGATATCATGTTGAAGTGTATAATCATCTCATCCAAAAGTTTGAACCATTAAAGAGCACACATTTATTTATTTAATTATATTCTCAACAAAATTTACGTCTAACGAACTATTGTTGGATCTGGTTGGTTATGAATATGAACAGAGAAGCAGAGAAAGAAAAAGGATCGAAAAGTCCGGCGAAGACGACAACTACAAAGAAACAGAAATGATGATGAGGGCAATGGTTGTGTTTTGAATTAAGATGGAAGGTAGATGCAACAAAGTTGTGGTTGAACTCATTCTTCTTGGTAGTCAAAGTTCTTAACTTGTATTTATACAACTACTACTAGAGCTTTATTTAGATATATATCATAAGATCAAAATTTAGTGAAGGCAAAGGTCTTCCTTTTGATTGTTCCCACTTTATAATATGCCATTTCAAAGCCAGTTGGTTAATTATGTCGTTAACTTAAATCTGTTTTTCTTATTTGGTTGATCCAAATCATGTAGTAATTCTCTTCATCTTATAGTACTCAAATCACTTATTTTTATTACTTCTGCTTTATTACCCCCACCCCCAAACAAAAACTGTGAAGCAACAATTGAAAGATATCCTATGGACCAGAGCTACTTGAATACCATGAGTGCTATTATAGATCATGGCCACGATAATTTGATCTCATCTTTGATTGAACTGAAATGACACTTCATTATTCAAAGAATAGGGCAAAGTTGAGGACCAAAATGTAGTCCCTCCGGGGACTTCCGATAAGCATGGTTCCTGTGCAAGGATGGCAAGCACAGATGGGTAAGCACATCTACTCTTGACAACAAATGCAAAGTTGGGAAAATAGTGCATTTTCATCGCGAAAGATCTAATTAAGCCACAGGTTTCCTTGCAACTTCATCGTGATCAAGCAAACGTAAGCACATCATGCAAAGTTTTCCGAAAGCAGAATTGAAACCCTCAACTAAGTGACTTCGTAACCTCAAACCTACTTTTTTGCTTACTGGGAAAAGAGAACACTTTCATCGTGAAAGATTTAATTTCAATTTAGCAACAGGTTAACTTCCAACTTCACCATATAGAAGAACCATCGCGAAAAAACACACCAAAAGTCATTTCTGGTACTAGTGCAGAAAACACAGTGACTCTTTGGTCAACAACGATATCACGAATCTTGTTATTGATTGCCTATAACTCACTGCATTGTTCTTTATAGTATCAAAGCTCAACAAATAGTGAAGATTTGATCCAGTCTCTTTTGTACAAAATGCAACTATTCTACCTAATCCCATTTTATGCACAAGTATCTATATCTCAACTCTATTTTTTTTTTAACTCTCAGACATATCCATGTACAGTGTTATAGCCACAGCATCAACACAGCATTCTTTAAAAAAAGGCAGATTAAATTTATTGCATAAACCTTCGTAAGGTCCTGCAAAATAACTGAGTTCAATAACTTTCAACTAGAAACTAAATAATCTGGAAACTATAATGCAGGGACACTAATGAACCCACCTCAGCTAAAGCATCTCTCTCAGGATGCATTACAACGTTGAGTATTACAAAAACAAAAAGGGTGGAGGACAAACATGAAAAAGAGATCTAGGTTTAATTCTGATTAAATCTGATTTAGAAGACCTAAAGTCATAAATAGCATCACAAAAATTGCTTTGAGCAGATTAAATAGTACTGCTTCTGTTGCTGGATAATCCTAAAGCATTTACAAACATTTCTCAAACACAAAGTATGTACCATTCCTCATTCTACCTAGTCTTCCACAGTCTGAATCTCTCCCATCATTATACGGTTACTAACCACATTGAAGCCCAACTCTGAAAGGTTAACCTTCTTCCCCTTCCTACCCTTCTTCTTTCCTCCTTTTGGGGCCCAATCCTGAACACTTGAGTTACCCTGGTCAAAGCCAACACTGTTAGAAGTCACATCTTTGGCACTTGCACCAGTGACCTTACGATCATTCCGACCCTGGAAGGCCATGTCAAAAACATCCGCAGGCAAAAAGTCTTTGTAGTTAAGGAACTTGTCAATGAACTCATGATCAGGATCATAAGAGCCAAGATTCTCTATCAGAAGAATTTCAGCCTCTGACTTGGATTGCTTGAAACAGAAGTCCAGAAAGCTAGTATCTGAATGAACAAAAAGAATTTGGGAACACATCAGACAAACTGTCAGTATAGTTCTATGTAGATACTCTCAGGTTGCTCTGTGTAAGATTCAAGAAATTCCACAACTACAGACACAGTTCAAAATATATGGGATGATAATGTATTCCAAATGAGTGATATTTAAATCAAATGAGAGTAGCAGTTCTACAAAATACCTCTAGTACCAATGAGCCTATCACATTCATTCTCACACCACTCTCTGAAATCCATTGCTTCTGAAACAATGAAGATAGTTGTGTTAAATTTATTTTTTCTTTTTCCGCTAAGAAATATTGTTTACTTTAGATCTTGATTAGTTCTTAAAAGAACATATGGTTACCTGAATGCTTTGTTAAAGCATCCTTCTTCCCTTTCAGGGACGAGTGAGCTGATGCAGGAGATGAGGATAGTAAACGTTCTACAGGCTTACCGCTAACAGACTTCTGCCTGCTCAATGAACCGCCAGGGCTTCCTTTCACTGGTGTGGTCTTGCTTCCCCAACTGCCTTGACTTCCAAGCTGAGGATATTCAGACCTGCAGGCATTACAGCCAACAAAGAGAAGGGATTTCTCAACAAAAAAAAAAGAGAGAAGGGAGAAGAGCTAATAGAGAGGAAGGAAATGGTCGTACTGCTTTGCCTCTTGCTTGGGATGATCTATTGGGCCCCAAAACAAATCATCCTCCACTTTATTTTTTGAATTAGTGCCAGCTTGTGAGTTGATCTGAATAGGAGATGCCTTGGCGGGCGATGAACCAGTGGCAGACCATGATGGACCACCTACTCTGGCAGGTGGATTTGGCACAGATTTCTGTGTTGGCACTGGTATATGCTGCTGTCCAGAAGAAACCTTCTTTTCTTGTTCCTTTAGGATGTCCCGTAAGGATGTGGGTTTTGAGGGTTTCCCAGCATCAGTGGACCATGCTGGAACAGGAATAGGAGAAGAACTTGCAGACTCGCCCTTCCAAACAACAAAATCTCCTAGCGAAGGACCAGATGGTATAGCAGGTAATACTTCCTGGTCAGGTTGTACCTGACGCGAGCTTTTGACTTTGTCAATAGGACTTGATGCAATAGACACCTCAGAAGCAGCAGTGGGCACTGAGACCTTCGCTCCTGCACCCTTAGATTTTGCAGATCTTTTGCGGCTCTTTTTAGTTTCTTTAGCTTCAATAAAGTTATCATCATCGTTGACAGATACAGAAGGTTGAATAGATGTAATATCAGGAAAATCTCTCTCTCTGTCGCTTGACTTGGCCAAAGTGTTCTCAGCCAGTACATCATGCAATTGACTTTTCTTACTCTTCTGGTTGAGAGAAACATCTGAATTATTCATATTCAAATCAGTGCTGGCAGCATCTTGCTGAGTATCTCTAACTAATTTATGATCTGAATTAGTAACAAACCCAGCCCATGGAGTAGACACACTCAAGGAGCTCAGAGATGTGGCGACCTCTGTAGTAGCTATTTCTGCTTGTGCTCTCATCTGCTCTTCCTCTTGAATTTCCAACAATGACTTCGGCTTGAAACCAGGAGCAGGTTTCCAAGCTCGCTGTCCAGACAGTACTTGGGAGTTGAACTGTGAAACTGGTGGGTTTTGCCCTGGATATTCATCCACAACATCAGCAATAGCTGTTTCAGGTTTGCTCTCTCTTCTTGCTGGACCTACAGCTGTAGCTTTGTCAACTAAAACAGATTGTGAATCAGAAGCAATGGGGGTATCAGATTGCAAGGGCTTTGATGGCTGTGACTTAGAAGCTCCCTTCACCAAGTCCGAAGTTTGTCCCTTAGTAGACTTCTGCTTCCTGGACTTCTTTTCAGATGATTTTTTAACTTCCCGGGTTTCAACACTTTTCAGTTCCTTGGTGACAGAAAGTCCATCACGTAGATCATCTCCTTCAATCTGTGGTTCTGAGGGAGCTGCAGCTGGTGGTGATTCAACTCTGTTTTTCTGATGCAAGTCATTATCAACAGCTGGTGGTGGTGGTATAACTGCCTTTTCTAATTGTTCAACATGTGGAAAATGAGAGGCAATTTCAGCAGTGGCTGGAGGTTCATTGTTTTCTGAGCCCTTCTCTAGGTGATGTTTGCTGGTAAATTCTGTATGTGATGATGGATCAATCATGGCTGTTGCCATCCTTGGGACCTTCGGTTGAACATCATCAATTTGTTCCACTAAACCCCAACTCCTCTGACTGGAAAAGTCTCCAAACATTTGATGTGGCAAGTGCACAGATGAGGTTTCAGAGCTACCTATTTGGCTGACATCCTGAGAAATGCTCGAGGGCAAGACGAAATTTGAAGCACGAGCTTCTTCCATAACTGGAAGTTGTATTTGTGTATTCATTGAAAACAAATTATGTGAAGGCGGGAAAAGGGTAGGTTGTTCACCAAATCGCTGATGAGGATGCTGATCAGACAGAACTTGAGAGAGCAACTGCTGCTGCTGGCGCAATATTAGTTGCTGTTCCTCCTGTTTCTGCTGCTGCTGCTTGAGCATCAACAACTTGTCTAACACTGACAATTGTTGTGGTCCTTGTGCTGCCTGAGACTGTAGCTGCAGCAAGTACTGTTGCTGCAATAGATTTAACAGCTGTGGATCTTGAACTCCAGATGAAAGTAGCTTTTCAGTAGCCAAAATGCTGGATGTATTATCCACGGCACCCAATAAGTTGGTCATAGGTGGATTCTGTGGGTGTAGCCTCTGTTGTTGCATTCCAAAGGCAGATTGAGGGGGCATACTCTGACCTTGATGCATCTCCATCCTTTCCTGAAGCGGTTCTAATCCCCCTTGGACGGAGAAATTAGACCAACCACTAAGACCGCTACTAATACCAGCTGATCTGTCTGGTATGCCCTGAAGTAGAGACATCAAATCAACATTCTGATTATGGGGCTGCTGGCGAATATTTTCAGCCATTGAAGGCCGTTGAGAATGAGGCAAAGGATCTTGAACAATATCCGCATTTGGAACAACAGATGGTGCATCTCTCCCGGGCCAAAGAGGATAGGGCTTTGGTAGAGATTTCTGTCTCTCAAGAGCAATCTTTTTAGCCAAGAGATACAGATTATCTCCACTTTCAGCTACCATAGGAGGAACAGCACCAATATTATTTGCACCATAAGCCGGCATGCCTGCTGAGCAAGAAAAGCAATCACCAATCATCAGTTAAATATTAATGCACATCTTTCCAATTTTTGAAGCTTCAGTTATTGATACAAAAATATTAGCATAGACAACAATAATGCAAAATTCAGACGAATACAACTCAAAAAATAAATTCAAACCAACCTTCAGACTGAGCAAACTTGTCAAGCGGTGCATGGCCTACTTTGCCAGCCATCAGTGACTCCAAGAATCTATTTTCAGCCTCTGTTGTTGAGCCATGCTTGTAATTCATGTCACTCTTTACCATATCAATCTCACTTGAACCTGCATGAAGTTTTGTGAAGCTGCTCACGTTCAACCCCCCTGGAGCATCTGCATTGGGCTTTGGTGCTCCAAATCCAGGAGGTGGCCGAGCCTTAGCACGCAAGTGGGGCATAACATCCCCCAGCAGATAAAATGGTGAATCATGTGGTGCAGTAGCTAATCGAACTAGCAAATCTATGCCAAAATATCCAGCCTCAAACCATCCAATAATATCACTACCTGAGAAAGGACCTTGAATTGAGCCTTGTGGATCTTTGTAATATAGAACCAGGTCCTCCGGAGAAGATTGTGAAATTTTCCTCATCTCCAACTCTTTGTCCATGGCAGCAGATAATTGCCTTTTGAGAATAGGATCATCTCCAAACTGCCATTTAGATCCTTCGTTTTTGGGGTAAGAAGGATCTGCAAGATCTCTTTCCCGCTCTATATTCTTATCCTTCTGGTTCTGGAGCCATCCAATGTCAGATGTTCTTGACCTGATATCAGTTGGCATTTCTCTAGCATCATTAGCCACCAGATGTGAACGTGCACCAATTGAAGATGATCGCCATAAGCCGCCACCATGGGGAACAGGTGAGTGTCCTGGTGTGCTTGGATCTCTATTGACAGACTCCCGTTCTCTATGAGGAATACTGTCTTCTACTGAAACTGAACATTAAAAATAATAAGTTAAGACAATCTATTGAAACCCAATTACAGATAAAAAAGAAGCATAATTGATAGATCTCTTAACAAGAACCACCATAATTCAAAAGCAGCTCTCTCAGAAGACAACTCTGCTTATTGAAAGATATGCATAACCAACAGACTAGCTTTAAGTATTTGGATCTCGAAATTTTAACAGGACTCCAAATCTTAATAAGATTATAGATTTGTTTTTGTTACTGCATCCTGATGAACTGCACAGTACATCAAGGGATAGATATCCACACATATACATACAGCACCTAATTTGGGATCAGAAAATCTCTCTAAACTCTAGTCTCAGATTTAGAACTGGACCCATAAGGATGCAACTTTCCGAAGAAAAAGCCATCTGGGTGATTCATAGTCACCTTTTGCATTGTCAATACTTTCATCTCTTGAATCATCAAATGATAAATCTTCTCTGCTACCTGTACATTTGAAGAAATGATGGCAATCAAAACCATAGCACAAAACATACTAATTTGAGAGCTTAATTAATCAAGATTCAGAAATCCCGTAACTGATCTAGGAATTAGAAGTACCTAGTTTGCCGCGCCTTGGCTGAGTATGTTCAGTTGAGTTTCGACCTAACGCTCCATCTTTAGTAATCTGCGGAGCTCCACTACTCAGAACATCCCCCTTATCAATTCCCTTCAAGATAGCCTATACATAAACTTGAGCAGTTACTTCATTTAAACTAATTAACATCAGATCAAAATCCAATTCAACTAAGTAATATCAGTTTCAAGTCTCTCTGAAAGTTACCAATTCCTCCGGACTGGGTGCACATAATGCAAGAGGTTCCAGAGGTTCATCTTGTGTAAGTGAAGGAAATTGCACAATCACATCCGAAAAGTTACTACAGGACTGCATGTCTGTAACTCTATACACATCAAGCATTTTTATCCGACTGTATTGTATAGGAGAGGAAACATTTTCAGCTTTCTCCGAGAATGCCCCGAATGACTGCACATGAGGAGAGCCCTTTATCATGGGGCTCCCTCCAGAGAGAGCACGACCCCTACCTAGAGAAAAAGTAGCGGTAGCACCATCTTCACGTCCCCGGCCATGAGAAAATGTAGGAACCTGTTTGTTTGGTGTAAAAGCCTGATGAGTAGGTTCTGACCTTCCCCTGCCGTGAGACGTAGATCTCCATGGCCGATAGTGGTCACCCTCTCTCTCATCCTTTCCATGATAAGCAAGACCTGGAGACCCCTTCTCAAGATGCATTTCAGCATCTTTGCTAGAGTTGCTCCATTTCTCACGTACAGCATCTGCTTCCTTCTCATCAGGTCCCCAGCGCGTGTTCCATTTGCTCTCTCGACGCTGATCGTGATTGTTTTCCCTATTTCCAGAATCAGTCCATCTTTCACCTGGAACACGTCGTGCTTCTCCATGATGTCTGCCAGAGGAGTCCGACCAGCGCTCCACCTTGCGGCCATCACCAATCTCCTTATCTCCCTCCCTCCAGCGGTCCCTTCGAACAGCAGAATTGGTGTCCCTTTCTTCATCACGCCAGCGATCCCGTCGACCTGATTCCATATCGAGCACAGATGGCCTAAAAACATCTTTCTTCTTTTGATTATCATGCATATCATCACCCATCCCAGGGAATTTCGCTAACTCTGAACGAATACCATACCCCGGATGTATGTTGAGATGGTTGTCCTGCATTTAAACACCAATAGACGAAAAAAACATCAGGCTAGTTTATGAATTAACAGTTTAATAAGAACCGCTACACAATTTAAGCAGAAAACCTCAACTGCTTCAAACCCAACACCAAAATGTTTCTCAAAAGTGTGAACGGTACAGGGTTTAAACAAGGAAATCCAAAGCAATAATGAACGTACCCCGGTAACTATCCCAGCCTTACTTTCCCCTGGTTTTGGCAGGAGCCACTGCGGTGAAAGCGGAATGGAATCGTTGGGTCCTTGCACATCTACATGTATCAAAAATAACTTATCTATAAAGACATAATCTTGCACTACGACAAATACAAATACAAATACAAATTGGAATCAAAACACCCTTTTGACAAGGTAAGAAAATAAAGCCTACTGCTTACTGGATTATGTTAATAAGCAAAATAAGAGGTTCCATATAATCCCTATAAGTTATTATATGAAACCTCTTCCATCATAGAAATACCAAGGGTCTGCATCAAAATTATTTACAGGAGCAAGGAATTTGGAAGGCATATAACTGATCAAAGGCATGTAAAACAGATAAACATAACGATACATTCAAGAAATAAGATCCCACCTTCAATTTAAGTAGCGCTCAATGAAAACTTGCCAAAAAAATCAGAAGATTTATATGAATTAAATTTGCCTTTCAGCAACACAGGATACCTAGCTTACATGCAGTAATAGTCACTTCTTATCTCTCATAACTACAAAAAGATACTCCTAGATAACATCTGAAATCAAGGGCTTCAATACTAGCAAAAGACATGACACTTGTCTAACATGGTTGTAAGCAATGCTGAGGTCTGTCATTATTAAGTAGTTAGTTGCTTACATACTTCATTAAGTTATCCTTTGAGATTAAAAAACTTGAAGTTTTGACCCACTAAATTGGCCAATTAACAGGTACCATGAAAGGCAAGGAAGTAGTCAAAAGCAAAAAGCACCAAAATACATTGGATTTCAAGAGCAAAGTGCAAATAATGAGTGGGTTTTAGCAAAGAGAAGTATCATGTGTGTGTGTGTGTGTGTGTATATATATATATATATATTACTGTCTAGTATTGTGCTTTTAAAGATTGAGCTTGGTGAAGATGTGCCCGAGAATTAGCCCCTTGATGCCTGCACTAAAGCACCAACTAAGTGAGGAAAAGCACACAAGTTGGAATTACAGAGTTTCAGGGCTTAAATGCGCTTTGAGCAAGCCTTTAACAACAGTGGATGCAAAATGGTTTCCAAACCAGGAATGGTATATTGGAAGTGACTATTGAGTGTCTAAGGATATAATACCAGTAAGATATATAATTGTAAGAATACATATGTTAAGATGGATATATGGTGATACAAGATTGGACAAGATTAGAATCATCACTTTCAACAAAAGGTTTAAAGTATCACACATGTAGAACAAGATGAGCAAGTCTTCTGAGATGATTCCACAATGTTCAATGTCTATTTTCATGTGCATTGTTCTTAGGTGAGGCAATAAGAGGATCAAAGGTGATAAAAGAGAGGGGTGTGTTTGCCTTCATGACTTGGTTTAATTTTACAGGTTGAGGGATCTATGACTTATGTCACAGGTTTGAGCCTCGCGCAATGCAAACTAAACCTGGTATTTAAATATAGAAGGATAAACAGGCAGGCCCACTATCCCAAGTTCCGAAGGCTACGGTTGGTCCTAAGACTGGACAATACAAAGCAACTCACCAAAACTTCTAACATCATTAAAACACTCAAACACGAGACTAGTCAATTGTTAAGCAACATTACCAGCTACCACCACAAAGTCAATTTCTTCAAGGATAAAAGTAATGGTAGACACCATGCTGAAGGAAAAATACAAACACACAAAAAATCTCCAAGTAGTATTATTGATCAGACATAAAAAATCACAACTTTATAACCAAGTGATACTTTCTATAGTAAGAAAACTCAAACATCAGTGTTCCTACTGCGAAGTCAATTTCTCTGAGTATAAAAGTGTTGATAGGAAAGGAAAAAAAAAGCACACAAAAAAATCTCCCTAAAGTATTATTCATCAAACATACAAAAGAAAATCACATCTTCATAACCGAGTGACATTTTCTAAGTAAGAAAACTCAAAACATCAGCATTCCAACTACAGAGTTAATCTCTTTGAGTACAAAAGTATTGATAGGAACAAAACAGACACACAAAAAAATCTCCCTATAGTATTATTCATCAAACATACGAAAAATTAACCGAGTGATATTTTCTTTAATAAGAAAACTCAAACAACTGCATTCATACTTCAAAGTCAATTTCTTTGTGTATAAAAGTATTGATAGGAACAAAACAGACACAAAAAAAAATCTCCCTATAGTATTATTCATCAAACATACAGTATATTGATAGGAACAAAACAGACACAGAAAAAAAGATCTCCCTATAGTATATTACTTATCAAACATACAAAAAAATCAGAACTTCATTACCAAATGATATTTCCTATAATAAGAAAACTCAAACATCAACATTCCTACTGCAAAATCAATTTCTACGAGTACAAATGTATTGATAGGAAAAAAAGCAGACACACCAAAAATCTCCCTAGAGTATTATTCATCAAACATACAAAAAAAATCACATCTTTATAACCAACTGATATTTTCTATAGTAAGAAAACACAAAACATCAGCATTACTACTACAAAGTCAATTTCTTGTATAGAAGTATTGATAGGAAAGACAAAGCGCACACACAAAGAATCTCCTTAAAGTATTATTCATCAAACATACAAAAAAATCACAACTTTATAACCGAGTGATGTTTTATATAGTAAAAAAAAAACTCAAACATGAACATTCCAACTGCAAAGTCAAATTTTTTGAGTATAAAAGTATTGGTAGCAAAAAAATCTCCTATAGCATTATTTATCAATTCATACAGAAAAATCACAACTTTATAAGCGAATGATACTCTATACAGTCACAAAACTCGAATATCATCATTTTTTATGCTCCCGAACACTGTCTTCAGCAGGTCGAAGCTTAATCAACCTCATGGAAACCCTAAACCCACAGTGGCGGCAACAGTAGAACACACATAAAGCTACAATCTTTCATTTTCACAACGACAACATACATTCATCTCGTTACGATAAGACAAACAAAAGGGGAAAATGCATCTATTGAAGAATTTCGAAGCTGAAAAAAGTGCGAAAAAATAAAAAATTTAACCTTTGGAGATCTGATTAAGGCGAGAATCAAATTGAGTTTTGTCACCCATGGCTGATGATCGGAAGGAGAAAAAGTGAAGAAGCGCTCAAAGAAAACCCTAATTTATGCTGCTTTGTGAGAGAGGAGGGAAGAAGGGGAGAAGAAGCTTAGGCGGGGTGAATATAGGGCAAAAGGGTAGAGGCTAATCGAAAACTTGGGTTACGTTTAATGACGTGTCAACCTTCGGCGCAAGTTAGCCATATCCTACTCCTATTATTTTTTTTTATTTGTCTTTTATCTTTTTTTTCACCTCCCAAAATTAAAAAAAAGGTTGAAACATTTATGGTATATTACTATTTTATTTATTTGATATTTTTTTTCTTTTAATATTATTTTATTTTATTAATAACAAGATATGAATTGTTATAAGCATTTGATACCATTTATTATAAATAAAAATAATATAAGTTTAATTAAATATTATAATATAAATTGAGATGAAGAAATTAAAAGTACAATTTTTTTGTGGATGACGAGAGAATAGGTAGCTACTATTATTTGAATAGGTATTAGGTAAAATCGCAAATCATATAAGAGGTATATTACACTAGGTAAATCCTATGTTTGAGAAAAGTATAACAAAACCAAAGTGAACTTCTAATGACTCTTGTCGGCAAATATTTAGTATTTTAATTTGACATCAGACTCCTAAAAACATGTTTTTTGAAAATACATGATATGGACCCCTTAAATCTTAATAAAATATCAAGAAATTTCATTTGTTCGAGTTAAGGATTCCATATATTTGACTAGGGGTGTTCACGGTTTGGATAAAAACCGACCCAAACCGAACCAAACCGATAAAATAAAACCGATCTTATTTGGGTTTGGTTTGGTTTGGTTTTAGATTTTTGAAAACCGATAGTATTTGGTTTGGTTATGGTTTTATTCAAAAAAAACCGAAGAAATAACCGAACCAAACCGATGAATTATATACATATATTTTATTAATATACATACTTAATAGATTGTTTTTATAAACAATTTTAAAGATCTTATACATATTTTCATTAAAATTTCTTTATAATTTACTTATTGAAAACAAAAATGCCTAAGATGAAACATTTATCTTAATGATTTCATATATATAAGTGTCTATGACAATTCTTGTGGGACTTAAAATGTTATTGTCTCTTCCTTCTAGGCTAATATAGTGAATTTTAAAGCTTTATTGATAGTAAATTTAGTGATTGAAAGTTCAATAATAATTTAAGTCATTCTAACTATTTTTCGTTTTGAATGGATTGTTGTCACTTTTTTCACATTTTGAATGAATTGTTTCTTTTATTTTTGTGTATGGTTAATAACCGAATAACCGAACCAAACCAAACCGAACCGATAACCACCAAACCGATAAGTGTATATTATATTTGGTTGGTTTGGTTTTGATAATTTAAAAACCGATTAAGTTTGGTTTGGTTTTGGTTTTAACCTAATAACCGATCCAAACCAACCCGTGAACACCCCTATATTTGACTTGTCGGTTTACTTTGATGAAGACAAGTTTGTTGGGCTCAACCTTTGTATGAACTCTTGAAATTTGAGGGATGCTAACACAAATAAAGTTTGCATCACTGACATTTATAATTGACATTGTATATTTTTTATTCTCTGCCCCAAATATAATTAAAAAAGAAAAATAGTTTAGTTTTGCTTCAAATATACTCAACATTAACAAGCAATTCATTTTTTTATACCCAATGAGCCCAATCTACTTCTTAGACAATATTATACAAGTATTGAAAGTAACTTGTGGAGTGGATACCATATAATAGCCCATAATTACTTATTTTTCAATGAATTTACATGGTCAACATCGATGACCTCACAATAATTCAATTGTAAATCGAAATTAATCATGATATGCAGTTTCAAGCAAAGCCACAATGATGCTTAGAGGGAGACAAAACATCAAAATGTTTAAGATAATGTTAAATTTTAAATTTATGTTCTAAAAATAGGACTATATAATAAAAATATCCCATTCAAAGCTGATAAAGTCAAACTTTAATATGTTTGGACTTACCTAATTGAAAAAATATGCTAGTGATGTACATCCTCAAAGCCCATTATTGTTTCTTTGAAATGGATCCTACATGTCCATAGAAGATGAGTTAATATATGTCTTAATCTTTTCTCCTTCAACATAATCCAAATTAGTTGTTGGAAGGACATAAGCAATTTTTTAAAATGGTTTCACAAAGGACTTTTGTATTGATAAGAAAGAATTATGATGATGCCACTCACTTCCTTTATCATAATGCATATTACATGGATTTTAAAGTTATTTTTTTCTACAATTGTATATTGTAATATATTATGCTTTTATAATATTCTAAAAAAAATAAATTATACCACACGAATTTCTTTTTCCAGAGGCAATTTCTTTGTGACACATAACTACATTATATTACTCTTATTTAGAAGTGAGAGTTGGAAAGGACCAACATTGCATTAAAGTACTTGTACAATGTTGGTCCTTCCATTGCATTAAAGTACTTGTACATATATAAGTGGGCCCCACCTCCTTCCACTTAAATAATATTCTTCAACCTTATCATGGTAAAAGTTGAATTTATTATCCTTTTCATTTAATTTTATATGATATTATTTTTTCCTATAAAATCATTATATATGTTTTAATAATTTAAATTTCAAAAACATTATACTTTAACTTTAAAGATTTTATTTTATCAAAATCTTGTACATTGAAATATATAGTTATGAATTTAAAATATTTTTAAAATCATATAAAAATTTCAATAACTTCTCAAATTCCATAATATAACACTTAAATACTACATATTATATATTAATTACTATACTATAAATGACTTAAATACTCCATATTATCTACTCTTATTTAGAAATGAGAGTTGGAAAGGACCAACATTGCATTAAAGTACTTGTACAATGTTGGTCCTTCCATTGCATTAAAGTACTTGTACATATATAAGTGGGCCCCACCTCCTTCCACTTAAATAATATTCTTCAACCTTATCATGGTAAAAGTTGAATTTATTATCCTTTTCATTTAATTTTATATGATATTATTTTTTCCTATAAAATCATTATATATGTTTTAATAATTTAAATTTCAAAAACATTATAATTTAACTTTAAAGATTTTATTTTATCAAAATCTTGTACATTGAAATATATAGTTATGAATTTAAAATATTTTTAAAATCATATAAAAATTTCAATAACTTCTCAAATTCCATAATATAACACTTAAATACTACATATTATATATTAATTACTATACTATAAATGACTTAAATACTCCATATTATCTATTACAATAATTAACAATTATTTGACACTTTAAATTCTATCAATGCCATATAAATTAGGATAAAAAACCTAACATATAATATTTAAATATATTTACAAATAATATAAGTAATACTATACATTATAATAATTAACAGCTTAATTATTTAAATATTTTTTTAATAATATATGTTATTTGCCATGTCCCAATTTATGTGGCATTAATTGATAGATTTGTTGGAGTCGAGAGATTTATTTTGTTAATTATTGTAATTTATAGTTTCTTTTTCATCAATTTCAAACAATATATGTTTATCATATAATCCATTTTATGTGGTACCAAGAGAATTTAGAGTTAATTAAATTTTTTATATAAGTTTTAAATAATTAAGCTGTTAATTATTATAATGTATAGTATTACTTATATTATTTGTAAATATATTTAAATATTATATGTTAGGTTTTTTATCCTAATTTATATGGCATTGATAGAATTTAAAGTGTCAAATAATTGTTAATTATTGTAATAGATAATATGGAGTATTTAAGTCATTTATAGTATAGTAATTAATATATAATATGTAGTATTTAAGTGTTATATTATGGAATTTGAGAAGTTATTGAAATTTTTATATGATTTTAAAAATATTTTAAATTGTTAGCTATTGTGATTTGTAGTACTTTTTTTAACATAATTTTGAAAATAATATTTATTAATCTATTTGTTCTAATTTATGTGGCACATGCAGAATTTCAAATATTAACCATTTTTTATATGTCTCTTTAATATATTAAGTTGTTAATTATTGTATTTTATAGTACATTTTGAACCTAATTTTTTAATAATATATGTTATTTGCCATGTCCCAATTTATGTGGCATTAATTGATAGATTTGTTGGAGTCGAGAGATTTATTTTGTTAATTATTGTAATTTATAGTTTCTTTTTCATCAATTTCAAACAATATATGTTGTTAATTGATAGATTTTTTGGAGTAGGCCTTTTTTTTATTATTAATTATTGTAATTTATTGTTTCTTTTTCGTCAATTTCAAACAATATATGTTTATCATATAATCCATTTTATGTGGTACCAATAGAATTTAGAGAGTCAATTAAATTTTTTATATAAGTTTTAAATAATTAAGCTGTTAATTATTATAATGTATAGTATTACTTATATTATTTGTAAATATATTTAAATATTATATGTTAGGTTTTTTATCCTAATTTATATGGCATTGATAGAATTTAAAGTGTCAAATAATTGTTAATTATTGTAATAGATAATATGGAGTATTTAAGTCATTTATAGTATAGTAATTAATATATAATATGTAGTATTTAAGTGTTATATTATGGAATTTGAGAAGTTATTGAAATTTTTATATGATTTTAAAAATATTTTAAATTGTTAGCTATTGTGATTTGTAGTACTTTTTTTTAACATAATTTTGAAAAAAATATTTATTACTCTGTTTGTTCTAATTTATGTGGCACACGCAGAATTTCAAATATTAACCATTTTTTATATGTCTCTTTAATATATTAAGTTGTTAATTATTGTATTTTATAGTACATTTTGAACCTAATTTTTTAATAATATATGTTATTTGCCATGTCCCAATTTATGTGGCATTAATTGATAGATTTGTTGGAGTCGAGAGATTTATTTTGTTAATTATTGTAATTTATAGTTTCTTTTTCGTCAATTTCAAACAATATATGTTTATCATATAATCCATTTTATGTGGTACCAATAGAATTTAGAGAGTCAATTAAATTTTGTATATAAGTTTTAAATAATGAAGCTGTTAATTATTGTAATGTATAGTATTACTTATATTATTTGTAAATATATTTA